GAACCACTGTAGGGGAAAGCAAATATTATGATAAGAAAAGTTTTAGCCTAAAAACTCCACATCTTTAATATTATAGGACTATAATAATAAAATTCGCGGTTCGAGCCATGCAGGGTGCACAGCGCAGACAGCATATTTGTCCCAGAGTGGAATGACAACGATAGAAACCGGGTTTTGATACCCGTGGTGAGCAGAGCAGAGATAGCCCTTTCTGTATCTTTGTGCTTAATTACAAACAAGACAGCACATTTTACATTTTAAGTATCGTTTTTTTCTTTTTATGTAATAAATGTTCCGGGCTCTTAAAGACAACAAAGAAAAAGATCTGATCCATCATTTACTTACTCACAATTTCGTTATTATTACTGAATATACAAACATATTTATCTTTAATAAAAAAATATTATATTTCTTTCATTTTAATACACTGAAATATCACATTTTTGTAATGGTTATCCTTCCTTGAAATTGCGACGAAATTATAACTTTCATAACCACGGAACAATATTTTCAAAGTTATTTTAGCTGTTTAACATTTTCTACGTTTGACACGAGTCATTTCTTTCTTTCGGTGATGATCTTTTGTGTTGCACATCCTTTTATCGACTTGAGTTACATCTATTTGTTTATTCCTGTATGGGCCCCAATCTCATGCAGTTTAAATACATTTAATACATTGCACTCGTATTACAAACAGGCGACTTCAATTCATGTGAAGAGGGTACCAAACATGTAGTGTCGCTATTTCATTAAAAAATTAAGATAAAAATACCACTTTCTATGTATTTTTTTCATAAATATGACTGGATCATTATAAGATTTCCTGAGAAGGAAGAATTAATCTCTCTCTATATATATAAAAACCAATAATATTTTGTTGGGAATGAAGGTAAGTACAGTACTAGTAAATCCAAGGATTTTCTGGTTTAATCACCTACGAAAAAAACACGAATGGCTGGTAACTTATAGAATATTTTACCGACATTACGGCTTGCACCTTTTTCTGGGTAAATCATTTTACAGGAACGCAACTAGTATGAACAAGATTTAGTATAACTATAAGGCACGTGTCTAAACTAATACGCCACAATAGGTACTTTGGTAACATTAGACTTTCAACATGAGAGAAAGCCAACAACATTTGTAATTGCAACAAAGCTGAAAAAAAAATCTGAAAAACATATGTTACACATACATTAATGATAGCTATAGAAAAGCCAACGAATCACTGTGTTTGTAATTTTCCTTACTTTTAGAGTAAAATAAAACTAGTCGGTCATTTTAATAAAAGCATATTATTAACAAGCATATTAAATTTCTTGAAATTAAATACTTTAAACATGATTGTTATTTGTTCTAATTCGTACGCTAAGGAAGCATTACAACTCGCCACATAGCATAACGTCAGAAATCTGCATATCACACAATACAGTGTAGTGTTTACAAGTCAACATATCTGCTAAACCCAGTGAAATCTCCAAGTGGTTCAGCCAATCTAATCCAATAAATCGCCCTTAACTATAATATAAGAGGTGCCCGATAACCGAGCATTTGTCGTCACAGTCAAGCTCAGAATATAAAAGTCTGAAAAACAGTTGACAAAAGTTAGCGTATCTGATAAAAACTCTGGTGGCTCAGTCAATCAAAACCAGTAAATCGTTCTTGACTAAAATATAAAAGATGCCAGACAAGAGAACATCAGCGGCATTTGTCGTCACAGTCAAGCTCAGTGTATAAAAGTCTGAAGAACAGTTGACACATTATAGTTATTCATAAGGATACTTTACAATTAGTTACAACCTGTTTTCTGTCTTCAGTTTTTCCTCTAAACGTATGTATCTATTTTTTAAAACACTTGTGCAATGACGACTGAAACACATTCAACAGTGTAGATTAGTTATATCACTTTCCTTGTGCATGACCTTCACAGTTGATAACTGGTTGTTCAGGAATAGGGAAAAAGCCTTGGAAATTCCTATCTTCGGCCATGTTTGGCATGTTCACTCTTCATCGGAATGGTATAAACTTGTTTGTTATTATACTCTACACGATCTCATCATGATAACAGTGAAATAACTTGATGGATCTTGTTTCATTTCAAACATAGGGTTTCTAGCACACTAAGATAATGATAATCTTCAACCATATGTACTTTGGAAAATGAAAGAAGAATTGTAAAGTGCCCTTTAATTTATTTTCCTTTTTCTAAAATAAAATTTGTACAAAAGCTTATTTGAATTATCTCTCTAGCACGACGTTCAGTTTGGCTCATGAAAGAAAAAGAAAGGCATACTGCAGTCTAGAAGATTTAGCAAAGTCAGATGAAGCTTTATCGTGCGTTATTAAAACAAGGAACACTAAAGATGAAACATTTAATCAAAGTATACGATAACCGACTCCACATGCAACCTAGTTTCCTGCAACATGTGATCAGGTTTTGAGCACAATAACTTGAAACTAAATTGGCCCAGGAAACATTAAACAGTTTTAAACCATGTTTCGCACTAATTACTCGATTACTTGCAAAAGCAGGGCGCTCGCAGTGACGTTGGTTGACCCATAGCCCCCTGAATAATAGAGAAAAGAGTTTTTCACACACAGAGCCTGGTGGTCAAGGTGTTCGACTCGCAAAATGTGGGTCACGGGTTCGAATTCCCGTCACCGAATATGTTCACCCTTTCAGCCGTGGGGGCGTTATAACGTTCTGGTCAATCACATTATTTGGCGGTGCATAATGTTGACTAGCTGTACTCCCTATAGACGTGTGTTTTACCGATTTTGAACACCTTTATTTCATTAATATCAAAAACAAAACCTCAAAAGGCGAGCCATCAAACAAAACAAAGGTATAAAAGTGTCTCTAAGGATTGCATGACTAATTCGCCGAAAACAAACAAAAGAACTACTGACTCAAGCTTACTTTAGGTGTTGTATTTAATATATGTAACACAATTGCTTTGACACTATTTGTATAATCATGTTCGTTTGCTTGTTTTTGAATTTCGCGCAAAGCTACACGAGGGCTATCTGCGCTAGCCGTCCCTTATTTAGCAGTGTAAGACTAGAGGGAAGGCAGCTAGTCATCATCACCCACTGCCAACTCTTGGGCTACTCTTTTACCAATGAATAGTGAAATTGACCGTCACATTATAACGCCCCCACGGCTGAAAGAGCGAGCATGTTTGGTGTGACAGGGATTCGAACCCGCGACCCGCAGTATAATTATGTATCTACCATTCTTTGTAAGTTACTTTTTAGCACTCGCATTTTATCTGGAAGCTAATCCACATATAGTGTCTTAGAAATAAAACTATTTTGTTTTAATAATGCTGCTTAGTGATATTCTTACGACTCCTTTGTGACTGGTTGAAACTCTCCAACGCTTCTCATGAATACAAATTATGAAGTCAACATTAAAATAACACACTTCATTCTCACATTAATGCATTTCTACTTGCCAGGCGTAGCCTAATGATTTGTGCTATAAGAGCGACGGTTAAATCGCACTGTTCCGTCAGCCAAGAGTAACCCAAGATTTGTCGATGGGTGCTGTGAGTATCTGTCTTCCCTTTACTCTAGTATATCATTTCAAAATTGTGGATGGTCACTTGCAGGTAGCCCTTTGTGTAGCTTTATACGAACACTCTAAACATGCAATTTCACCCCAGAACAGTAAAAAGTAAATTTGAATATTTAAAGTGTAAATAGGAATAAATGAACTCCAATACATAACGAGTTTTTATAGCCATCTAAGCAGGGAGTTGGATCGTATGATTTTAGGCGACAACAAGTATAAGGAATGGCAAGTTTTTATGAAGTAAATTATACAAGGAGTTTTAAAGAGAAGGGAACTTTGATTATTGACTAAGTAGATTAATTATTGACCAATTAAACGCATAACTAAGAACGTTTAACACAACATTTTGTTTTGACGGAAATAGGTTAATTAACTGACTGATAAATTTCTAATGATTAATTGGTGAAACATACCAAGAGTGTTACAACACTACGATAATTCTGCAATAGTAGATGACTCAAGAAAATCAATAATTTTGCACTATTATTGACAAAATATGCTCTGATTTTCTTGGTATGCTAAAAAAAAAAGAAGTAAGCGTATCTTCAACTTAAAAATAGTAAAATATGCAGACATTATTTGACATAAGACACCTTGGGAGATTTTAATGCCCCTGAAGATTAACGATCGTGAAATAAATATGTTGCACAAACCTTATAAGCAACTCGATCACTGATGACTATGACATTGTGAATGATTAAATTTTAGACTTATTATATCAACAGATATGTAAGTTGATAAACAGTTAGACAGATTGATGATACAAAGCACATTAACCCTACTCTATTTCTCTTATTTTTTCCATTGCGAATCCGAAATCAGAGACAAGTAAAAAAAGAGAAAGAAATTCATATCTATTTTTTGTTTCCCACAAGTCACTGCCAAAGCGACCTTTCGTTCAATACTAGAACTCGTCAGTTGGGTTGAATATTGAAAGTCAAACAAATCTCTGAAACATTATTTATTATTAGAAATCTAGATTATTACTTCTACTGAAATAAAGTTATAGCTTTATAAACAAAAAATCGATGATTTCTGTGTGGTTGCTCCAGATGGTGTCACCATTGTGTGTCAGGTAGTACTTTACTCCAGAAGGTACGCGCCCCCCTTCCCAGTGGCACAGCGGTATGTCTGCAGACTTACAATGCTAGAAACCGGGTTTTGATACCCGTGGTGGGCAGAGCACAGATAGCCCATTGTGCAGCTTTGTGCTTAACTTCAAACAAACAAACAAACCAGAAGGTCCAGGACTGAAATACATACATACTAACATATATTAACACTGTTAGCAAGATGAACTAACAGTGATAAAACAGTATATATAAAATGTAATGATGGTATCTCTCGACCGTTGTTCTGTGTAGCTAGCCATTGTCCAGAAAAGGAACTTTATTTTGTAAAAACTACTTAAATGAATACTTACGAACATTTTTGTCAACTGACTTGTTTCGAAAGAAGGAAAACACAAGCGTAAAAGCCACGATCAGTGAATTTGCAGATGATCCGGGTACTTTGAGTACTTTTCCAGCCTTTTGTGTGTACTTGTGATAGATTAACACAATCGGGAGAATAATTCCGAGAAGAGTTAGTAGGCCCAGCGTTCTCCAAGTGTGTCCGGGAAAAAGATTAATGAAACCAACCGGGAACAATGATTGTTCTTGTTCCATGGCCTTAGAGTTTCACTTTGATTTCTTTACAATTTAAATAACAAATTTCAAGAGCAATGTTACGTACGCGTTCGCTGAGTACCGACACTGTAGTGTTGCTAAATAGTAACCACTAAATAATCTACTAGTTCACTGACGCATTAACGACGCATGCGTATTTCTCGAAATGTTAGGCCTGTGGCGAAATCGTGAAAGAAAGAAAGAGACAGTAGTCAGGTGTACCAAGCGAGCTCTCTCGCAGAAGTGTTCCCAGTGTAGGTGACTACTTGTAACAAACTAGTATTAGAGCTAAAATCATAAATAATATTCAACGTTAAACTGGTACACATTTAAAAACATTTTATGTAACGTCGAAACATGTAGAGTCGTCAACTTTTTGAAGGCCATAGATAGGCCTAAAT